GGGATCCTGGTGCGTTCAAGGCGTGGACTTTAGCCAGTAGGCTACTGTGCTGGGCCCTAGAAATTTTTTGTTTAAGATTTACTATTTTCATTGGAGAGGCAGATTTAAAAAGAGAAGAGACAGAGACAAAAATCTTTCAGCTGTTGGTTCACTCTCCCTAGTGGCCACAATAGCCAGAGCTGAGCTGATCTGAAGCTTCTTCCAGGTCTCCCATGCGGGTACAGGATCCCAAGACCCCAGGCCATGCTCCACTGCTTTCCCAGGCCACAAGCAGGGAGCTGGATGGGAAGTGGATCAGCCCGGACACAAAGCAGCACCCACAGGGTATCCCAGCACATGCAAGGCAAGAACTCCAGCCACTAGGTCGCCACCCTGGGCCCATGTTAATCATTTTCTAACTTCTGACCCCTAAGCCCTCTGGCCTTGGACTGAACCCAAACATCTCCCCTTTACTAAAGCCTACTGCAGCTCTGTCTGCACTGCCAGCTCGTGATGGTCTGGGATACAATCTCACCAGGCTTGATCAGTGCCCCCAAACTGTTTCTTCCTTAAAAGTTGAGGTTGATTGAGGAGGACAAGACACCACCCCCAGGCTGAACTATGGCGGGCGGCTCCTCTCTGTGGGCCCTGCTAAGCCTGGTGTGACTTAAGGGCTTTGCTCAAATTCCAGGATGGTGAGGAAAAGCTGTGGGTAGGGCCGCAGATCTGCAGGAGATAGCACGTTCCTGTCCTGTGATGGATGTGGGTCCCCCATCCCTACAAAGAGCACCCTAGAAAGCATGTAACTTGTGCTGCGGGTGGGAGCCCTGGGGGTTGGGGGTCCCTGAGAAGGTTTACATGTGTAAGGTGGGGCCCAGGGAAGGGCAGGTGCTGGGTAACAGAGCCACTGCGCTGAATTCTTGAGCTGAGTCAGGCTTCCAGAAACATCCCGAAGAGGCAGGGCACGCGTGCTCCCAGGCAGGAACGCGCACACTGGGCGTGTCCTCTGGCTAACTGCCCTGGGACTGAGGCTGCAGGAAACCAACTAGGGAGAAAGGGGAAGGAAAATGCAGCCAGGCGGATGCGAAAGCCCTGTCCCGCCTCCCATCGCGCCCAGGAGAGGACCCCAAGACCAGACAGATGAGCAGGTCGCAGGCAGGCGGGGGGGGGGGGGGGCCTGATGGGGAAACGGCCCGGCTGGGGTCCTGGGGAAGGACGGGGAAGAAGCGGGCTTAGGGCTTCCACGCTGGGATGAGTGGGCCTATCCCTGCCCCGAGGGACAGAGCCCCACTGGCTCCTCGCTTCTCTGTCGCCCTCTCGTGTCTGCCTCACGCCAGCGCCGTCTCAGGCTTCCCCCTGCCGACCACGCAGGATGTGGAAGCCGCAGGTGTCCCAGGGAAGGCAGTGGAAGAAGTCGCAAGTATTGGGCGAGGGGGGCCTGCCACCCCTGTGGGAGACCTGGATGGAGTGCCTGACTCCTGGCATCGGCTTAACCCAGAATTGACTGTTGTGGGCCAACTGAGGAGTGAAGATCTCTCTTCCTGTCTCTCCTGCTCATTCTGCCTTTCAAATAAATGTACAGCTCCCCTCCCAGAGGGGGGTGGGGAAAGGTCTTTCTGCCCAGCTATATTGCTCTACCTTTGAGATTAATAAATCTTAGCGATGGAGAGTGTGGCCCAAGAACAGGTTCCTAGATGAATCCAGATATGTGAGCAGCTGAAGGCTCTGCAGAATGAGGAGGGAAGTGAGCAGGGCAGGGCAGCTGGCCCTGGGCTCCCTGCACCGGGGTCGTGGGACTCTGGCCAAGGGAGTGGTGGACTCCGAGGGCGGGCAGCGCAGCAGGCAGGGTCCATCCTGCACATGGCAGGAGAAAGACCAGATTGGCATTTCAAGAGCCGGTGGGAGGACTTGGATAGGGCAAGATGGAGGTGGGTGGGACCAGGGGGCTGAGGTGGGTGGGTGGACACAGTACTGGGACAGCCTAAGTGGGAGGGGTGGAAAGCGGCACGAGGGCTGAAGGAAGGGAAGCAGCAGGCCCCAAGGCCGGTGCAGGCACCCTGTGACTCAGACTGAAGTTTATGCTCATCTTTGGTTGTGGAAGAACAGATCACTTGGCTAAATCCTCACCTGGTAAATGCCAAGATCCCATGTAGGCACTCGTTCATGTCCCAGATGCTCCACTTCCCACCCAGCTCCCCGCTTGTGGCCTGGGAAAGCAGTAGAGAAGGTGACCCAAAGCCTTGGGACCCTGCACCCATGTGGGAGACCAAGTGGAAGTTCCTGTTCCCTGGCTTTTTGTAAATCTGATCTGCCTTTTCAATAAAAAGAAATACATTTTAAAGATTTATTTATTTTTATTGGAAAGTCAGATATACAGAGAGAAGAGACAGAGGAAGATCTTCTGTCCAGTGATTCACTCCCCAAGTGACCGCAACAACCAGTTCTGCACTGATCCAAAACCAGTAACCAGGAGCTTCTTCCAGGTCTCCCACGCGGGTGCAGGGTCCCAGGGCTTTGGGCCGTCCTCCACTGCTTTCCCAGGCCACAAGCAGGGAGCTGGATGGAAAGTGGGACTGCTGGGACTAGAACCAGCGCCCACGTGGGATCCTGGCACGTGTTCAAGGCGAAGATTTTAGCCGCTAGGCCACCGTACTGCCCCACTATGTGTGTTTTTAAGTGCTTGATTATGTAGAACACAGTGTGAGATTCCCCGGCCCTGTGCTCTTCAGCTCCAGTGTCCACAGTAGCCAGGGCGGGGCCGGGTCAGGGACCAGGAACTCAGTCCAGGGCTTCCAAGCAGTGGCAGGGACCCAGTGACTAGCATAGTGTCCCCCTAACTTTTTAACAATTTCCCTCATTGTATTTCTTCCCCTTAGAGATAAACAGACACGTGGCCCTCCTCCTCTTGCCTCTTCTTTTTTTCTCCCTTCTAGAATGAATTTTAAGGCTTGTTTTGACTCAGATTTCCTTGGAAAACCTGAAGAAGGCCACAAACTCTCACCCCACAGTTTGGCCTGTCACCTTGGGCTAGAAACCTCTCAAGTCCATGAGAACCCATGGGTGAAGAGGGTTAAGGAGTAGGTTCTGGGGCATAAATAAATCTTTTTTAAAAATGGGCCTGGTGCAGTAGTCTAGTGGCTAAAGTTTTCACCTTGCACATGCCAGGCTCCCATATGGGTGCCCGTTCATGTCTCAGATGCTCCACTTCCCATCCAGCTTCCTGCTTGTGGCCTGGGAAAGCAGTAGAGAAGCTGACTCAAAGTCTTGGACCCTGAACCTGTGTGGGAGACCTGGAAGAAGCTCCTGGCTCCTGACTGGCTCAGCTCCACTCGGGAAGTGAACCAGCAGATGGAGGATCTTTGTCTCTCCTTCTCTCTGTATATGTTTTTCCAATAAAAATAAATACATCTTTAGAAAAAAAAAATCAAAACATACTGTAGGAGTGGTCGTTACATAAAAAAGGAAGCCCACCACTCTAGATCCCCTTTTTTGGACCACCCAGCTGGGCTGGGCAGAGCGCAGGCTTGCTGAATTGTGCTCTCCTCAAGCCGAAGGCCCGTTCCTGTGGCCCTCCTCAGCCCACCCCCACATGCGAAGGCCCAGCAGATGTGCAGGCTCCAGCCTCTTTGGCCACAGCCAGGAGGTCTCAGCTTGTTGATTTCCCTCCCCAAGTGAGCCAGGAAGTGAGTGTGGGTAGGACACTAGCTCCTGGTGGGGTGGAAAGGGAAGACCCCCCCCTTGATCTTCTCCCTTGGGGTCTTCCTCATTCATCAGCAGGAAGGACATCCCACCCTCATCCCAGGACTTTCCAGGTGCCCACAATCAGAGGCGCTGTCTCACCCCCTGCCACCAGGGCACCAAGAGTTTTATTGGAATCCAATCTTGTGTCCGCACTGCGGAAGAAAGAGGGGAAATGGAGAGAGGAGAAGCCCCCGCCAGACCCCAGAATCCCTCCCTCCCCCGACCGGCCTGGGGCATCGTGCCCCTGCCCCTTGTACTGAAGGAAGACTTTGTGAGATCCCTGAGGGCAGCAAGGAGGAGGCTGGGAGCCGGCAGAGGAGGACTGGAACTGCTACTTCCTCCCCTGACCAGAGCTTCAGCCTGAGGCCCCCAGAGCCATGTGGGCCCTCTCTGCTCCACTCTGGGGCTCCTTGGCCACCGGTCACCGGGGTCACCAGTCGGTCAGGCCTCTGTGCTGTCCTGGGGCTGGGACACACAGACCTGGTCCCTGTGCCTGAACACTCATCGTGTGAGCCGGCAGCTCCCCTTATGTCCATCCCCCTCCTCTTCCATGTCCTGGTCTGTACTCCATTTGGTCTCAGGATCTGATGCAGCTGTGGCCCGTCCCTCCCCACCACCCCTTCCCTACCTCTCATCATGCAGGTGGCCTGGCTGCTGTGGCCTTGGCCCAGGGCACTTGGCGAGGGCTGCCCTGGACATGTGGGACCCAGAGTGAGCCTCCTCTCCTGGGGCTCTCGGGACTTTGGGACTACCCAGTCTGGGTAGGGCTAGGGCCAGCCACCAACCCTGAGCTGGGTCCTCCCACAGCCAGCTCAGCAGGTGCCTGGAGGAAGGGGCATACAGTTCCATTCCTGTCTAGCTTATATCTTGGTTGCTGTTTCCAATGAGAGGAAAAAGCCCCTCCCCCTCCACTCAGTTCTGGCACCTTTTTGAGGTGTCTCTGAGCTGAGGTGAAGTGACACAGCAGGCTGTGGTATCCGCAGCCTGATGAGCTGGCATCAAGCGGGAAGTGGACGGTGGCCCAGGGTGGCCCGTGTTCGCACGGCTCTTTGTTCCCTGGTCATGTGGTGTACGGGCAGCAGGTAGGGTGGGATCCTCCTCAAGTGCCCGCTGGGCACATCTATTCTCCAGGTCTTCCCTGGCCCTGCCTGCCCGCGCTGGCCCCAGGATCTCTTTGTAAGCAGTGAGGGTGTGGGGAGGAAATGCAAGCCCCCTTCAGGTCCTGGGGGCATGGCCTTCTCTCCCGTCTCCTCTCCCACCCATGCTGGGTCTCCATGTACTCAGAAACCCCCACCCTCCGAGCTGCTGCGGCTGTGGTAGCTGGGACTGGGGGTTCGGGAGGGGCTGCGTGTGCGGCTGCGGGTCCGGCTGCGGCTGCTGTAGCTCCCGTGGCTGTGGCCTGGGCTGGGGCTGCGGCTGCGGCTGGAGTAGTCGCTGCTCAGGCAGCTGGAGGAAGAGGAGGGGCTGGGCCGGTAATAGGGGATGGGACGCTTGCGGGCACTGCCAGGAAGAAAAAACAGATTACGGGCTAGCTCTGTTCACACGGGTCCCAAGTCCCCATCTGTCTGAGCAGCGGCCAGGGCTTCCTGCCTCAATTCCCCCGGATTCCCCAGCCTCAGACATGACCCCTTCCCAAGGGTATCTGGCAGGTACAGCTGTCACCTGCTACCTCCACATGGGACTTAATGTTTCTTGTTCCCTGCCTACAGGGACAGGAGCCCTGGTTTTGCCAGAGCAGAGCCCCCACCCCCCCCCCCCGCCCCAAGTTCAGAAATCGCTGAATGAGTGCCCTGGTTCAGATACGGGTGGGCTGGGCATCCATTAAGCCTGATGCGGGCGCTCCTACTCCCCCATGCAGTCACAAAGGGTTGGGCTTTCCAAAGGGATGACAGGGGAGACCCTGGCTGCTGCTGCCCACGCCCCCAGGCTTTGCCAGCGTTGGTTGGCACTACTAATCCCTTCGCCTCACTCAGCCACCTCCCACTGGCCCGGAGTTAGTGAAGGCTATGACCCCGAGAAAAGAGAGTGGTTAAGGGGCCACTGTGGCCGAGTTAATGCTGAGGAAGAAAACAGACGTGGTTAGTGGGGGAGGAGGAGGCAGCCTGGGATGGGTGGAGGGTTGGGGGGAAGCTGTGTTGGGTGGTGGTGTATGTTTGTGTCTGGCTGTTTGAGGACCCCCACCCCAGTGCCTACGGGTGTGGTGTGCAATCTGTGGGGAGATGTTCTTGTCTTGGTAGTCTAGCCCCCACCTCACAGGAGCTTGGAAAGGGCAGTGCCCATGCCAGGGTCATTGAAAGCTGCGGGTGACTGGTAAAAAGCCGACCATGGCCTCACCTGGAGTTCCCGGCCCAGACATCACCCTCCCCTCTGCACACCCACACAATGTATCCATCAGAGGGGCTGCTACAAAACCAGCCAACTCCTCTAGGGCAGGGGTCCCCCCCTCCGTGGGAGGGGCTGGTTCTCCCAGAGACCCCTGGGCTGTGCCCCCTCCTCCAGTGTCCCCAGGGTGGCTGGGAGGTTAGTGAGAAGAGTGGGAGGCAGACAGAGAGAGGGCTGACCAGAGCCAGACCAGCTCACACGGGCATCTCCCAGGCCGCCTGCGGGGAGGGGGTCCACCTGGGCCCCAGGCTGGCCACAGGCCACTCGGCAGGCGGGACCTTGAGACGAAGGAGAGAAGGAGATGTCAATGGTCGTGGGGGTGGAGAGAAGGCTGCCGAGGACCTTCTGGAGCTGGGCTCAGAGCCACCTCGGGGCTTCTCTGCACAACAGCCAGGCGCAGAGCACAGCCTCTCACCGTGGGAGGTGTCCGGGTTCCTGTGCGCCCAACCTGCCCACACTGGACCCTCACCTACTCCCGCCCCCACGACAGGGGCGGTCCGTGCGGCAGAGGCGGACCTAACCCCGCCACCACCACCACCAGCAGCCTCCCCTGCCACCTCCCACCCCCCTGTACCTGGTGATGCGCCGCGGCTCCATGAAGCTGGGCGAGTCCCGGCGCCGCTTGCGGATAGGCGAGTAGCTGCGGGAGCGGCGCCGGGCGCGTGCGGCCTCGGCCTCAGCGTGCCGCGCCCGGGCCTCGCCGTCCTTTTCCCTGGTTTGCGGAGGAGGAAAGGCACAGTCCACTGTGAGCCACGCGGCTCGATGGCCGTCCGGTATCCACAACACCGCAGGGCCCCTCGACCACTACCCAGACGGCCCCGCACTCACCGGCCCGTGGCCTTCTTGGGCGAAGGCGAGCGGCTGGGACTCCGCGCCCTCTTCTCGGCCGAGCGCGAGCGGGACTTGGATGGCGAGCGGCTCGAACTCCACGAACGCGGGTGCGGGCCGGGGCTGCGGGACGAACTCTTGGCTTCGGGGGCGCCGCGCCGGCCGTGCGCGCCGGGGGATGACGAGTTGCTGACTGGCCGGGCTCGCGGGGGCCGCTCCTTCGTCCTGCGGGAGAGGATGCGGCCACAGGGCTGGGGACTCAGCGGCAGGGTCCCCAAGGTAGGCTGGCTCTAAGGGGGCAAAGAGGGCAGAGCCCAGCCTGTGCGTCTCTGGGGCGAGGGATCCAGGAGGCGAACGCGCTCCGAGAAGTTGACAGGAGTAGGGGTTAGTGTGGCCGGGAGGAACTTAGAGGGCAAGCTGGAATCAGTGGTGGTTTGGTAGGGGGTTGCGCAGAGGCCTGTGGAGGGGAGCTCGTGTGCAGAGGGCCATCCGTGGAGGAGCGCGACAGTCAGCGGGGCGACAGCATCCTGTGCGGGGAGGAGCGCAGGGCTGGGGCGGAGCCACTCACCGTTTCCCGTGTCCACCGTGACCTCGCTCAGAGCCGGGCTCGGGTCCGGGGCCCTGGGCGCCGCCACCACCACCGTCGCCGCCGCCGGAGTCGCTGCTGGAGCGGGCCCTGCTGAGCGAGCGCGACGAGGCCCGGGGCGGCGCGGGCCGGGCGCGCCGGCGACCCCTGCGACGGGGCGCGGACGCCGAGGACCGGGAGCGCCTCCGTCTCCGTCGCCGCCGCCGCCTCCGGGCCGGCCCGGCGGCCGCGCGGCCCCCGCGACCCTGCGACGACGGCGCGGAGCGCGGGCTCGGGCTGTCCTTCCCCCGCGAGGGCGGCGTGGACACGGCGGCCGCCGCCTTGTCTCGGGCCCTGGGCGAGGGCGAGCTGGGCTTCTGACGGAGAGAGAGGCAGAGGGGGCATGGAGGGATGGAGGGAGACGGGGGACGGGAGGAGACAGAGACAGGCGCGCACGGAGAGACAGGAAGGGGACAGGCAGAGAGAGAGACAGAGAGGCGGAGGGCGGGTGGGAGGGGGGAGAGAGGGAGAGAGGGCTTTCACCGGGCCCGGGTCGGGGGGGTCACCGGTCCCGGAGCATCGCACACACGGTCCCCGCGCCTGCCCTGCCTCTACCTCTCCTGAGTGCCCACCTCTGGCCTCAACAGGGCAGCTCATGCAAGGTTCTCGGCATGCAAAACACAAGGGGAACGGAGCAGTAGGGGGAGAGGGAGAGATGGGGGGGGGTTCCAGGACGAGCACCGGGGCTGGTATTGCTCCCCCACTCCGAGTGTGGGGCAGACGACCCCCGACCCCCGGCAAAGAGGTAAAAGAGGGTGGCGCCGGGGAGGCCCGGCCAGGGCCAGCCCACCAAGCCAGGGGGACACCCCCTCCCCACAGCGCTTGGGGTGGGGAGGGGTCATTTGGGAGGGGGATGGAGGGGAAATCACACAGCACACAGATGGGGCAGGGCTGGGTGGGGGCGCAGGGGGAACTTAACTCAAAACTGAACCGAAGAAAGGGAGGGGAAAAAAACATTAAAAAAAAAAAACACAACGAAAAAATAATAATCCACAAATGTCATTAGATACCAAAATCAAAACCAATGTCTTAACTCCTGAGGGACCTGAGGTTTCCCTGTTTAATATTTTCCTGTGTTTTTCCGGCCCCTGCAGAGAGCTGCGAAGCTGTCAGTAGTAGTACCCGACTGTCTTTCTGTTTCTCTCTTTGCTTTTTCTTTTTTCTTTTTTTTTTTTTTAAGTTCTGATTTTTTTTTTAAGTCCCTCTTGGTTAACGTCCACTTACCAATTAAGTGGCACTTCCTCCTTTAGTAGGTAAGGTGTGTAAGAGAAGGGAAAAGTGTGGTAGCATAAGTTCATCATTAGATTCACAAAAAAATGCAAGAGAGATAGAGAGAGAGAGAGAGAAACGCAACCACCCCACTCTTGGCCTAAGGGGAGGCCATTGCCACCTCCAGAACAAGGGACTGGCAGTGCCCAGGGGGGACGGGTCATGGGCGGGCACCTCAGGGCGGGGTGGGTGGTGACCTGGGAGAAAGATGGCAAATGCTTTTTTTTTCCTCCTTTTTTTTTTTTCAATGCAAAGGCAGACGCAAGGATGGGGGCAACACAAGGGGCACATTGGTTTAGTTGGAAAGGTGTTGGCTGGGAACCAGGAATCTGTGAACCTGCCGTTAACTGATCAAGTGCCCTTGGCCACTCCACTTACCCCCTCCACCAAGCAAGAGAGGGCTGGCTTTTGCCTCCAGGGAGAACTGTGCCTCCTGGACACCCCTCCCAGTCCAACGGCTCCTTCCCTGCACAGCACTGACCCCTCCTTTCCCAGGCAGGGAGGAGGGGTGGCTTGCATCTGTCTGTAGGTCATGCCTGGCCCCCTCATCTTCACCAAGTCTATCTGTGGTCAGCTTCAGCTGTGTCCATGACCTCAGTAAACCACTTTACAACTTGCCAAGGAGGAGGCTGGGGAGTCCCAGCAACAGGATAGGGGTAGGGCTCAGGGCAGCCTCTTGCAAGGAGGAGCCTGCATTCCCCAGCCCTGTCCTGGGTGCTTTTTTGCAACCCTCCAGAGGATCTGATTGTGGAGGGGGAGAGCCAGGAAGTCAGTCCAATTGGTGCACAGCTGGTGGATGGACAGCTGTAAGAGCCAATGAGCATCAGCCACAGAGGGCGAACCCAGCTGCCCACAGCCAGTGGGGGCTGCATCTGGGTTGGGGGCAAAGGTATTGACAGTGGGCAGAGTGGCTACAGTAAAGTGCCTCTCCGAGCACCTCTCATTTTCTTGACCACTGCCATGGCCCCTCTTCTAGGATGGCAGCTCCACACCACAAGGCGCTCCCCTGCCACCCAGCCCCGGGTGCCAGGCCCCAGCCCTGGGCTCACTCTCTCACTCAGCATCCTTTCCCCTTAATAGGAGGCAAAAGAGAAAGAAAGCCATAGGGAATCTCAAATAGGCAGTGTCTCTTCTATGCTTGAGGTTGGCAACAAGTATTAGTGAGCAGACATAAGAAACAGGAAGGGTACTTGGGAGCCCACACACATAATACCTCCCCAAAATCCTGGCGAGGCTGGGGCTCCCCCATTCAAGAGAGTATCAAGCAAGTGGGCTGAGTACCACACCTGGAAGCCAGGGCCTGGACATGGAGCCTGGCTACAACCCAGACTGCTGACTTAGGGGAGGGACATGGTGTTCCCAAAGCATGGCAGAGCCCAGTGGACTTCCCCAGGCCTTGGCCTGGCATGTTGGGAAGGGCAGAGTGGTGGGGAAAAATAGGGGGGCTCTGGGTCAGATGGCTGCCCACCGCTCTCAGTGAGGCCCCTCAGACCCAAGCCCCTCCCCGACCCCGGCCATGGCTTCTCCCCAGTGGCCAATTGCCTGCTTCTCTCCTGGGATATCTTGACCCCTGAACTCTGCCCTGCCCTCACTTTCTTCTCTCCTCCAAGCCTACTGTTCTGCTACAGTCCAAGAAGATGTTCACTGGCAAGTCCTGGCAAGGCTGAGAACTCCGTGGCATCCACCCTGACCTTGTGGGAGGGACCTCACTCCGGTGAGGAAGGAGCTTAGTCTGCCTGTTGTTGAAATCCGGGTGCATGCCGTCTGTCCTGGAGGGGCCTCTGGAGGTGCCAGAGCAGAGCTGGGACATGTAGGCAGCCCCTCCAGGAAGCTACTCCTGCATGCATTGTCGCTCCCCTTCTCCATGCAGCCCTCCTTCTCAGGGGCCTGCCCAATGAGTGGCCTCTGGCCCCTCTGCCCTTCGAGGTTCAAGGTCAGCCCTCCCCTGGCTGGGAGACCCACCTTGTGTTGCTACTTCCAGGAAGTAGCTGTAAGGATGAGGCCTTGTCTCTGGGACCTTCCGTATGGGGCTGGGGGTTACCAGTCCCAGGACCCAGGGCTGGCTTGGCCCCCTAGCTAATTGTATCTTCTAGATCATTCCACCCTGAGGGACCTGCCCCCCATGAAGCTGCTCACACCCTGAAGACAGAAGGGTGTTCAAGGTTTTGAGGCAGTCAAAGTCTAGTGTTGGGACAGCCCAGAGAATCAGTGGTGCATGTTATCCCAATTGTTTCTGTCCATGAGGCCCTCAAACTGCAGTGTCCCCTGCTGGCCAGATCAGGCCCCACCATGAACCCTCACCTGCTGTAAGCCCTGCAGCTCCCAGCTGAAACACTGCCCAGTGGTGAGGCCATGAGGCCCAGCATAGCTGCCCCATCCCACTGCGGCTCACTGCCCGTGTGGGCCCTGAAGGCCAGGGTGTGACCTGAATCCCTGGGCTGCCAGGTGTGAGGGCGAAAGACTTAGCCTCTGCAGTTAGCACCAAATGGGCTCCGCCGCAGTGGATTGATCCGCTCTTGAAGGGGACACAGACTTGCGATGCTACACCACACAGAGATGCATCGGACAGCAAAATGAAGGGGTTGGGGGAAGAAGCAGGAAGGGGGACTGAGGCAGGTGGAGGGGTGAGAAGATGGAGCAGAAAAGCTGTCAGGTGACAGAGGGGAGGGAGTCCAGAAAACCAAAGGGGACAGACCAGGAAACACAGCTGTGTAGCTCATTTAGAGAAAGTGTGAGATACAAATGAGTCATCACTGAAAGAAAAGAAGGGAAGGGAGGAGGGTAAACCAACCAGAGCAAGGCTGAGAGAGAATCACATTTAAACCAAGCAGAGTGGCGGGCTTGTCTGGAGAAGGGCAATGCGCACAGCTGAGCCGGTACCTACCTTCTCGTGGTCAGGGGCAGGAGTGCAAAAACAGAAAAGAAAGAAGGTCTCTGCGTGGGGTAGGCATGGGGGAGGGGCATGGGGCAGCTGATGGGCAGCCAGGGTGTTGGGGTCTGGTCTTGGTCTAGTCCCGGTCCCATTCTTTTTGCTTTTTAAAAGTGACCACTTAGGATTAAAAAAAAAAAAAAAAACTCCCATAGGCAAGCTTTCCTGAACTCTGTTGTATATCAGATGACCCGGGAAAGCATGCAGAAAGCAGTGGATGGAAGTGGCACTGCAGAGGGCGCTGGCATCACGGGGAGAGAGATGAAGGACAGAAAGCAACAGGGAGCGAGGGAGCAGGAGGAGGAAGACAGAGCGATGCCAGGAGGAGACGTGGGCATGGAGAGGCAGGAAGGGTGAGAAGGTGGACCCAGAGAGAGAGAGAGGAGAGAAGCCAGTCAATAAGACTGGTGGGAGTGGACAGATGGGGGTGGTGCATTTAAAAGGGAAGGTAACCACAGTTTCGATTCAGAGTGGGACCTACACCATTTCCTCCCACCACTGGTGCCTACATAACAAAACACTATCCTGCTCACCCTGGGAGACAGCAGCTGGCCCTGCCCACTCTAACATTATCTGGGGGGTACAAGCTGGGGAGCCCTGGAAGAGCCAGGCCTAGGGAGCATTGTAGCTCTCATAAAGGTCACCCTAAGCTGCCTGTTAGGTGATGGATTTCGGGCAGAAGGGCAGACTTTGGAACAATTGTGTTCTATATTAGGGTGCCTGGGCTGCTGGTCCGCTCTGCTCCAATTCCAAGTTCCTGCTAAAGGGCATGTTACAACAGGAGGGAGGCTGGGGTGGAGTCCCCTGATCTTGGCATTAGGTGGGTCCAACCCCACACCATGAGCCCCTAGATCCCTCCCGGCCCTTCTCTGGGCCTCCGTGTCCATCCCAACTATGAGGGCTGTGTTGCCAGAGCAGCTGGGGGGTTGCCTGCATTCCCCCATCTCTCTTTGGGTGTGAGTAGCTAAAGAAGCCGGACAGCAGTCACAAACATCTGAGCTGGGGGGAGGTTTCCTCTTCTGTCTAGTGCTCTCTCTACAACAGGGCTGGGGTCTGCTTTTGAATCCACTTCTAAGATGCTGTGTGACCTTGAGCTAGTCTCTGACCCTCTCTGATGTGAGCCATCCCTTGTGTGAGCATCCTGGGAAGCCAATTGGCCGAGGAGGCTGCCTGTCCATCTCTGTCCCCTGCAGGGCTGGCCATGTCAACTTCAGAAGCGCCCCCTGCCCCGCCGCCATCTCCCTTTTTTCTCCCTGGATCTCCCAGTGTCTGTGAAGGTAAAAGTTGAGAAGATCTCCCCAGGGATGACAGCTGGGGAGTGCTTTATTTCATGTTACCTTCCCTTTTAAATTTCCATTATGAAAGAACGCAGAAAAGTTGTCTAGAGATTATATGTCTAGGAGTCATGTTCACTGGAGATTGAAAAGCCACCTGGGGGACACACACACACACACAGGCAAAATTTTAGAACCACAAAGAAGATAGGAAAACCAAACCAAACCAGAAGGAAAATCCCAAACAAACCCAGAGACTTGGCATTTCTGTACATTACAAAAGGGGGGAAAAAAACCAACAAGAAATACAAACAAAATAAAGCAACCAGAAAATGCACAGGAATTGTCCCCCACCCTCTTCTTTGCCAGCTAAACAAGAAATGGAATTGTGATATTACCACTTTTCGAGTAGGAGGCTAAAAAACAAACAAAAACACAGACGGGGTTAAAAAAAGCGAGTGCTTCCTTTTCTTAAAAAAAAGAAAAAAAAGGTGGTATCTGAAAATACCCTGTCCCCAGTACTTTTTCCCCAAAGATGTTTGTTGTTAATTCTTCAAGGTAAAGTTGCAGACACTTGGATGGTGGCTCACCTCCATGCACCTGACAAGGGGCTCACTTTGCCCCCCACCCCCCGACAGGCTTCTTGGGCCCAGAGGGGACCTGGGTGTGGATTGCTAAGTCCCCACCTTGCAGGGTCCAAAAGGAACTGCCAGGACGGAGTGGGGCCTGGGCTGCCTGTCCTGTGACTGGGGCCACAAGTGCACCTTGGGAGTGCCACGGGAGATAGGTGAGGATGGGTTGTAAGCCAAGACTGCTGTCTCCCCTAGGACATGGTGATGGTGGTGGGGCGTCTTCTCAGGGATGGATGTAATCAGCAGGTGCCCAGTCGGGAAGGGAAGGGAGGGTAAGAGGTGGCAAGCAGGCCCAGGCTTCCATGGCCCTGGGAAGGAGGCAGGAGGTAGAGTCCCTGGGGTTAAGAAGGCCTCAAAGACTCTTGCCTGCTTGGGGAGGCCAAGGCAGGAGCAGGTGAGGCTTGCAGCTGATTGGAGGGGCGTTGTGCTTGGGGTACCGTCAGGTTTTGCACTTTCCCTGCAGGGGGGGCGGGGCTGGCGGGGAGGGGGGGCCTGTCTCTGCCAAGGCCACCCTCAGCATGCCCTCTCCAGCTCTGTGCCAGCCTCCCCGCTTAGTCCAGCTACCCACCTCCGGCAGCCAGCTGCCACCTACGCAGCTGTGTGGTTAAAGGTCCTTGGATAGAAACAAACCCTAACAACAAGCTTTTGGGGTCAGCTGTCTGGACTTTCTTCCTTGCGAGTGAGGGGTGTTTGAGAAAAGAAAAGAGTGAAAGGAAACAGCCAAAACTCAAAACGAACTGACCGACACGTACATGTTTGCTGCCGAGACCTGGGGTCGCAGAGGGGCAGGGAGCAGCGGCTCTCCCACTCCTGGCTGCGGCTTCTTTGGGGTTGGGGGGAGGCGCTTCATCGGCCTCCTCTCCCCAGGCGGTTCCCCAGTCCCCCATGCACACCCAGTAACCTCCCTCACCAGCACTGTAGCGCGCCCCTCGGAGGGGCCTCAATCCTGCTGCGTGCAAGGGACAGACAAAAGGGCATGGGGAGAGAACCCCAACCTGTTTTGACACCCGCCCACCCTCCAGTGCCAGCTGCCACAATCACCAGCCTGCCTGAAGACTCCCCCCACGGGAGTGGGGGCCCTTGCTGGAGCGTAGGCAGTGACCAGCCTTTTTTCGGGGGGGGGGTGGGGGAGAGGGCGGTGAGGCGTCTCCAAGGGAGTGAGTGTCCCTTGGAATGGGCAGCTTAGGGAACTCCTGTTCCCAGTAAAGAACAACGACTCTTACAAACGCAGCTCTGTGGTAGTAGGTGGAGCCCAAGTCGGGAAGGGGCCGGCTGTGAGAGGGGGAGGGACGGGATGGGCCCCAGGAGCGGCCCGAGACTGGGTGGAGGGGGTGGATCCTGTGTCTGGCTGGAATCCTACTCCTGATTGTGACCCCTAGCAACGCTCGCTAAGCTCCAGGGTGGCCCAAGCCCGCTGGCCGCACCACCCCTCCGCCGCACACACACCTCGCCCCGCCTCCAGCGCCCGGTGGCACGCAGCAAACCCGCATCCCCTGCGCTCCGGTGCCAGGACGTTCCCCTCCTGGGCCAGGCAGCAGGGGAGGCGCAGCGGGGTGACGCCAGGCGGGCAGCGCAATCGAGGCACCCCGAGAGAGACCGGCTCGCCGACCCCGGCCCTCGGCCTCCCCTCTTACCCTCCCAGAGCCCGGCCACCCCCACCCCGGCACGGCACGGCGCGGGAACCCCGGGCACCGAGAAGCGTACGTACATCGGGCGGGCTGCGCGCCGGGCCCGGGCGGCCGCCGTGCGCCGCACTCCGCTGCCTGCCGCCGCCGTTCTGTTGGGGCGACCCCCATCCGCTGCCGCCCGACGGGGAAGCCGACCGGCTCGCGCTGGACCGCTGGCTGCCGGTCTTCCGCCCGTCATCTCGGTGCTTGGGGCTCAGTCTGGGAGGACGGAGATGGAGATTGAGGGGTGGGAGAGCCGACGAGGGACGACCCTCAGTCTGCAGGCTCCGGGGGTGGGGGGACAGCCGCACCCACCCACCCACCCCCGACCCCACTGAGTCGGCCCCCGTACTGCGGGCTGCTCTGTCTGCAGATGAAAGCAAGCCTTGGAGTCAGGCCTACCTGCTGGGTGACCTGGAACCGCTGTACTGGGAGGACACTGAGGGGCTACGCGAGCTGCCGCTGCTGTGTCGGTGGCACCTCCGGTTCGGAGACTCTGCGTGAGGCCTGTAAGAGGTGGGGAGGGGAAGCCACTTGCAACCAGGGTCACCCTCCGTAGAAAATAGCCCTGTCCACCCCGTCTGCCCGCAGACAGAACCTAAAGAAGGTTGGTGCTGCAGAGTTTGAAAAAGGTTCCCGTGTTCTCCCGTCAGGCCTGACCTCACCACACCAAAGCAGATGCCCCGATTTTAGCATGAATGTGGGGAGGGTCCAGCTTGACAGGAGCCCTGGCTTGGAGGCAGGGGGGAGGCCAGGCTGAGGAGCTGAGCTGGCTCTGTCTGCCAGCTGCCTGCCTGGGCAAGGGGCATTCCCAGAACTCTTGGGAGGGTCAGGTGTCGTGACCCTAAGGGCCAGGCTCACAATGAGAGCACAGCAGGTGTGTGGGACAGAGGGAAATGGGGCTGGAGTGTTGGGGCGGAACTCACCTCTTCCTATCTTTGTTCTTTTCTTTTCTTTTGCTCTTGGGGCTTCGAGATCTGCGGGGAACAAAGGCATAACCAGCGTGGTGTGGGGGTGTGGTCTGGCCAGAGCAGGACCTGTACTCTGGGCCACCTTCCTGGACATGGTCGCTACCTTGCTCTACCTGATTTCTCCCTTCTCCAAGCCCCAGCTGGCTGTCACCTCCTGCTTGCCTCTGGCAGGTGCTGCTGCCTTCAGAGGAGCCATGGGTGTGGTCCAAGCTCCTGAGTGGCAGCGCTGGGGGCATGTCCTCCTAGCACTCCCAATTATGCCTCCCGCCTGGGGTTCAGCCCAAGTCAGCTCCCCAGGGGTTCAGGGAGCAAGTACTCCACCTCCTGGTGCAATCTTTCTGCTTTCTGGTGATGCTGGGCCACTGTCTCCTCCACAAGCCTGCCACCCATCAGCTCTGTGGGGCAGACACCCCCAGCCCCCTCCCACCTGCAGATTAGGCCTGTGAGACCTTGCCCCATCCTCCCTCTCACCCATGTTCAGCGATGCTTGTGGTGCTCAGAGACCCCAAAGTGAGTGAACCCCAAAATTGTGCACTAGAGGGAGGGGGAGTCCAGCCTGAAGCTGGTCTAACCCCGGGCTCACTCCTGGGGAGCTGGCTGGAGGGTCTGTGCCAGCTGGCGGTAGCCACGAGGGGGCAGCAGGCCTCCACAGGTCTGGGAAATAGGGGTGGCCCCAGGATCCGGCGTTTCTGTAGACTCCTCCCCTATCTGATGCCTGGTACTGGGCCAGTTCTCACGGTCGGGGAGGCAGATCGGGAGGTGGAATGGGGCTAGGGACCCCCCCCCCCCCACCCCAGGGCTGCTGGGAAGGGTCTGGTCCTGAATGCCAACCTTGGGATGGACGCTCCCACCCTAACTTTCCCAGTTGCTGTCTGCTCCTCCCAGGTTCCCCAGCCTCAGCCTGGGTTCCTGACTCCTCCCCTCTCCCATTCATCCTTGTGGGCTCCTAATCCTTACTAGGTGGAGGCCAGCCCCATGGCCAGATGGGTGGTGAGGGTTGGCACCTGATCTGATCGCCACCCTCAAAACTCCACCTCTTGCTGGAGCCCACCCTGTCTCCTACCCACACATTCAATCTGTTGCTTCTTAGTGGATGCTGCCTGGTACCCGAACCTGCAATGTTGTCTGAAGTTATTGGGGTCTCCCCTCCGTGGAAGCTGGCCCTCTGTCGAGCCCCTTAGAAGCAGGGATGCGTCCTCCCACTCCTTTCTCAGTACTGCTTCCCCTTCCCATCCCCCATCACAGCCTGGCGAGGACGGGTTGGGGGTTGCCTTGGTCCACAGCCGGTGCCCACAGCCCCCCTCACCTGTGCCTCCTCCTCCTCCGGGACCCAGAATCGGACCTGCAGGGCGACACAGGAGCACTCATGAGCTTGCCTGGGGCGGCCTGGGGAGACCCCGTCCATGGGCACTGTCCTGCTCCAGGCCCTATGGCAGTCATGGCAGACAGGGTACCTGTCACGGCGGTGTTTCTTGACACTCTTCTTCTTCTTGCGCAGGGGTGAGGAGCTCCCACAGCTGCGGACATGGTGAGGGTCCCCAGTGAGCCGGCGTGGGGAGAGCAGGGCAGGGGACCCCAAGGCTGTCCCAGTGCTCAGGACTGGTGCGGTGGTCCCCATGGGGTGTTGGCAAGGTAGCAGTGGAAAGAATCCTGGCTGTCACCCTGAGGTGCCACCCCTTCTACCTCAGGGATAGGGTCTCGCCTACCCTCAGACACACCCACCGCTGGCCCGGCCCTGCTCACGCATGACACTGACCTGCACACCGACCCTGGTCTCCGTTTTTTGCTGAAGGCAGGTGCCAGTGAGGAAGACAGACAGACAAGTGGGCAGGGTTAGTTGAAACCCCCGTCCCTGCCAGGCCCCAGGGTTTGGGGTTCGGGACATAGAAATGGGACTGGAGATCACAGATTGATTAGGCTCTGCTAAACCTGGGGACCCCTTCTGAGACTTGGTCCCTGGGCCCAGTTATCTCAATGCAGGGAGGGGGCTTGGTGAAGGGGAGAGGTTGAAAAGGGGGAAGACACTTGTGGCATCAGAAGAGGGTTCAGAAGGGAAGGGGGTCTGTCCATCGTCTGGCGCCCTCCCCCTTCCTCCCAGCCCCAGCGCACCAGGCCCTCACCGGCTTCTCCGGTGGCCACCTTTCTTCTTCTTTTTCTTCTTGGGAGGGGGCGACGCCGAGCTGCTGGACCAGTGTTTGGTCCTAGACGACGACAAGAGGCAGGGACGGGGGTTGAGGGGGGTCCCGTGCCGCGCCCCTGCCGCCCCCGCCCGCCACCGCTGACCTGTAGCCCCGGTGTCCGCGGTAGCAGGCAGCCGGGCAGCCGCAGTCCACTGGGTCGTCGTCCTCGTCAAAAGGCGGGTACTCGAGGCCGGGCTCGGCGCCCTCGGCCAGCCGCGGGGTTTCCGCCGCGCTGCCGGGGGACACGGACGGACGCTCAGCACCCACACCCGTGGTCCCTGCGGGTGACCTTGGCCTGGCCTGGGAGGGCTGGGGGTGGGGCGGGGCCTTGGGGAGAGGTTACCTCTGACCTCTACCCTTGGAGGACCAGAGGAGATGCCTGGTGACTTAAAGGGGTGCTTCCCCACACACAAGTCCCCAGTCTCTAAGAAAAAGCAAAGCCGCTTGGGTGGGTGGGTGACGCAAATCCATCCCCCATGAAGGGCCCCGCCCCTCCGAGTCCCCACCTCCCAGGGTCCCGGCCCCTGAGCCCCTTAGCTTGATGAGCAGACGTCCTCCCACCTGTCAGAGCCCCCCTCCCTGAGGTCTGCCCTGCCTCTCCCTGCCCACAGACCATTCATTCCCTCTCTGAAATATTCCTTGCCCCTCCTCCTTCCCCTCTGCAGGCCGGCCTCGTCCTCATCCCTCTCTGTGCTCTGCTGCCTCCCCAGCTGCCCGACTACCTTGCATGACTCTTAAGTAGGCAGAGGGGCCCAGGGACTGGGGACCGCAGTCCCCTACCCCTGCCCGCATGCTCCAGCTACACCCTGTCACGGAGGTTCACCTCTTAGTGCAGCTGCCTTTTCCTCCAAGCCCCTAGGCTTAAGGCAACAGCCAAAGCTTGCAAGACCCAGGAAAGCCCTGGCCGGTAACTCTCGTGGTTCCTGAATTCCTGACAACTCTGGTGGGGTGGCAGGGCTCTTGGGACACTCTGAGGTCTCCCAGGGTGTTGTGGCTTGAAGGGACCCTGGAGGAGGCCCAGGTCTAGGTGTCCTGGCTGGAACTCCTTCCCTCCCGGACACTGCCCCTCCCACATCATGGCCTCAGCCCCGAGGGGCCAGCGAGGCTGGCAAAGCAGGGTGCAAAGCCCGCATTGACTTTTCAAGGGGCAGTTGCACCCCAATGTACCCGGAAAGAGCAAGGGAGGCAGCAGAGCACATCCTTTGTGGGTTGCAGGAGTGAAGAGAGAGGGACTCCTGGCCCCCACATTCCAACTCCCCCACATCCCTCCCTGCACACATTTCTGCTCCTCCTCCAGATACCCTGGGTGGGGTGGGGTGTGGGGTCCTAGCTCCTGTCTCTGAAATGTGCAACTCCCCTAACCCGTCCTTCTACTCCCAACCTCCTCCCCTAGGGCCATCACTCCCTTCCTACAAAGCTCCAGACACATAGAGGCCTCACCCCACCTCCCACCAACAGACACCAGACACCCCTTCCCTGCCCCAAGGGGCTGTGTGAGCCTGATGGAATGGGGGGGGGGGTGGAGAGGGACAGGTCCTTGGCAAGGTGAAAGCACCGCCTTTGTGGGGTACCTGCTGGGGGTCCTTGCTGCAGCCATCCCCTCCTGCCTCCTTGCTGCCCCAACCCCCAGCCTGCTGGAGCCTGTGGGCGGCAGCCCTGGGAACCCCTTTCCTGGCTCCCTTTGCTCCAGGCTTGGCAGAGGCATCTTGTTGGCTTCCAGTACCTGGCTCCACTCATCTACTCGGTGGGATCCACCATTCTGGCTTTTTCCTGTCCTTTCTCTCAGCTGATGCTATCAATAAGAACAGAGTTCTACGCTGCCGAGAGTTCGCTGCAGTGCTGGTCTTGTGGGTTAAGCTGCTGTCAGCGACACATAGGAGTACCATTAAGTCCTGGCTGCTCCGCTTCCCATCCAGCTCCCTGCTAATGTGCATGGGAAAACAGCAGAAGGTGGCCCAAATCCTTGAGTCCCTGCCACTCATATAAGAAACGTGGATGGAATTCCAGGCTCCCAGCTGCCATCCGGCTGTTGCAGCCATTTCGGAAAATGAAGCAACAGATGGAAGATCTCTCTACTTCTCTCTCTAACTCTGCTTTTCAAGTATTTTTTTTTAAAGAGCTCCCTGCAGTCCACATGCCGTCCACAGCTACTGCTTGATTGAGAGAGACTGCTCCTGCTCCAATTTATAGATGAGACAGCTGAGAGGTCCAGAGAGGGAAAGGGAGAGCCCCCGTGGCATTGGGCTCTCTGAGGAAAGCAGAGAAATTCTGTGTAATGGGCTTTGGGAACAGGACAGCCCTTGAATTTACTTACTGAGGAGTTCAGTGGTCTCCGCCCTGCTGGACGGCCATTGCTGTGGGTGTGGCGTGCCCAGCTCTGAGCTATCTCATGCTTTGTGCCCTTCCATTCCTACTGCTTCCGTAGCTGAGTCCCTAGGCTGACCACGGGAGGTGCAGACCAGGTTGGCTGCAGAAATTCCAAAGGGCAGAGCCGTGTCACGGTGGAATGTGGAACACAGCAGAGCATGTGTGAGGGACCAGTCACTGTGGCTGGGGCTCCAACCTGGGTGTGGGCTGGCTGGTGCAGGCTGGTCCTCATGCCAGCTGGTTTTTGCTAATTAGCGGGTTCTGTTTCCCATTAGCCTGGAGCATCATGGCCACTTGACAGATGAATGAGTCCAGATAGAAAAGGGAGGGGATGTGCACCAGGGGTCAGCTCTCATTGCTTGTTCATGGGGCCAACATGTCAGGCGGGCTGGGGGCTGGGGACCAAGGCAGTGGGGGTTGAGATGGAGATGGATAGGGCGTGGAGCCTTCCCTTTGGCTCCTTACAGGGCAGGCTGGAGTTTGTTGTGCATAAACACAACAATATTAGAGTGACTCTCTTCCATACATTTTATTATACTAGATGACTATGAGACCCATCCTTCTTTTTATTATTATTATTGGAAAATCAGATATACAGAGAGGAGGAAAAACAGAGAGGAAGATCGCCTGCCCCCTGATTGACTCCCCAGGTGGCTGCAATGGCCTGAGCTGAGCAAATCTGAAGCCAGGAGCCTCTTCCAGGTCTCCCATGTGGGTACAGGGTCCCAAGGCTTTGGGCTGTTCTCAACTGCTTTCCCAGACCACAAACAGGGAGCTGGATAGGAAACAGGGCTGCTGGGATTAGAACCAGTACCCATATGAGATCCCAGCATGTACTAGGCAAGGACTTTAGCCTTTAGGCTACTGCATCAGGCCCCAAAACTATCATTCTTAAAACAAAGAATGTTGAAGGCGTCTGTGAGAAGGAGAGGAAAAGTGTGTCTCCTGAAAGGAGATGAGCTTACTTTTATCCCAGGACTTTTGGAGGCGGCCTTGGCTGGTGGGTAGATTGAATCTGTGTGGAAGGGGACCTGGGTGTTTCAGGCTTGGTGTCAGCAAAGATGGGAAGTGAGAGTGTGTGGACCACGGATGGCAGGTGCATGCAAAGGAAGCTGAGAGTGGGTGGCCAGACTGGGGCTAGGGTGCAGGAAGCCCTGGGTGCCAGGCAGAGGAGGCAGCCTGTAGGATCTGCGTCTGTGGCCAAAGAGACTCAGCATCCAGTTGGTCCCCAGTTGTCCAACTCCAATGTCCCTGGAACCAGCGGGCACTTAGCACACCTCTGATTGACCTGGAGTTTCACCCAATAGGTCCGTCTTCCAAATGGAGAAAGTTCCTAAACACCTGATCACATTGTGCCTTCTCCCCCGAAGTCACCACTTGACCCATGTGTGGGGTCACATCTACGCTGTCGCAGGTTAAATGCCATTAAACTGCAGGAGAGACTGTCACGAGAGGCTGTCACTCAAGCCAGTAAATTGACCTTGAGGAGAAGGATGGTCAGACCCCTGGGGACTAAAAGCTGTGGGACTGAGCCTGTCCCTGCTGGGAAGGTGAGGATCATCCAGACCCTGCAGACCCTGCAGACGCTCTGACCTGGACCTGGCTTTGTCATTTTACTCCAAGAGGGCGTTGCATTTCTGCATGCCTCGACATTCAGTCTAGGATGGGTGTCAGGGAGAGGAAGATGGTGATCAAGAGGCAAACACCACAGGGTCTGCCAGGTGGTCAGAGGGATCCACAGGCTCTGAAGGGACTGCGGCGATCAGTACAGGGGATTGAGCTGGCCAGACAGAAAGGACTAAGTCAAGGCCAGTGGAGCAGTTGCCATTGCTGCGTGAATTTGGTGGTGCGATCGTCTAGCAGAGGTGTGCATGGGCTGTGTGCTTGCTGTGACTCACACTCGTTGTCATGTTTAATCTCCTAAAACTCCTATGAGGCAGGTACTAATATCCTCATTGTATATCCTATTGCATATTCAGAGATCCAGAGAAGTCAAAGGCCTGTGCAAGTCACCCGTTGGGAGCCACAGTCTGGGCGATGATCCTTGAACTCAGGAAGTTTGGATGGGATGAAGGTATGTAACTCCAGAGCCTACACGCTCCCTCCATTACCCCCATGCTAGGATGTGGAGAAGACTTGGTCAGATTTCAAGGTCACAGGAATTGAAACAACCCACCTGTCACCAGCCCTCCCATCACCGCTGTCCTGCCCCTTGATACGTCAAGCCAAGATGTTCTTGGGTTCAGCACCGAGGACGCCCCCCCCCCCACCCCCAGCCAGCACGAACATGGCAGGATCATCCATCCTTGAGCTTGCCGCAGTCACATGGGGAGGACTATTTTCACACTATTTTAGGCTGCCCAGGCTAGAAGAAGCCTCTGGTTCCACCCTCTCAGTAGGAAACCATGTGTCTCCATCTCTTTCCCCACTGCACATGCGCAGGGCGTTGAGAACTATGTCATTCAGGAGGCTGTACTGTTTCTTCCTCCAGGGAGTAGGGAATGGGTGCCCCCTTCACATCTGCCCCCCCACCCCCGCAACATCCCCAGCACCAAGATGGGCAGATGGCACAGACATTCCGATGAAGGCACTAGAGCCTCACCACAGCATGCTTCCCCACGGGTCCTGGTCCCTGAATTTGTCACTCACTCAAAAGTCAAGAGCATTGGGAAAGGTCTGGGATCCACCCACTGCCAACGGAGTCCCAGCTGGGAGGGGACAGATGTGATGTTCTGGAGGGATGAGGAAGGGGAGTTGTAGGGGAGAGACATGAGGATGTGGTAGGGGACCCAGGATGGGGACCCTCAGCTCTGGCAAGTGTCAGGGGAAGGGGAGTCAGGAGTGGCCAGAGAGCCAACGGCTTAGTTGGAGAAGGTGAGGAATGCTCCCCCTGCACCCTCTGTCCCCACCGACGGTCTGGGGTAGTCTATTCTGATGGGATTGCTTGCCCCAGAGTGACTGCAGCAGGAAAGCCACGCTCTGCCCAGCTGTGGGTTTGGGTCTGTCAGTTAAGACCAATGGGGCCTCTGCCTGCTTCCCAAGCAGGTGTGGTGTGTGTGGAGATAAGATCAGCTGAGGGTGCTATTGCAGCCAGAGTAGCATAGGGGTACTGGGGCAGGTGGGAAAGGCTAAGGATGGCAAAGGGGGGGTCTACTCGGAAGGATGTTCAGAAGTGTACCCAACATGCTCTGCCTGGCCCATGTGGGGCCTGACCAACCCTCCTGCCACACACAGAGGTTTGCTTGGTCCTGGGTATTTGGTGTATCTCCATTGCTCAGGGACTGAGCTAGTGCCCACGGGAGCTCCCCTGCCCCACAGAGTCGCCATGATCTCCACAGAGCCCATGCCCTCCACCTGCCCAGCCTTTGGCCTTGGTTTGGGCGTATGGGTGCCAACTTCCCTGAGCCATGTCTACAGCTAGAGATGCCCTGAGCCCAGAGGAATCCACTGGAGAGGCGTACATAGTCAGGCAGAACATCCCCAAGGCTTCCTGATACCTGATGTGCAGCCCGAGCCCCCTGGCCAAGATCAAGGATGCCCCCATGCCCCTTCCTGAGCCATAGAAAGAGCCTGAGACACAGCAGTCCTCAAAGCTCCTGCCTTGTATCCTGGACCACGTCAGGAGTTCCCGCCTTCTCTTCCTCACCCCCTGAGCTAAACCCCATACCCACCCCACGTAGGTGTACACTCACATATGTCCTCCAGGCCGGTCATCCCTCGTGAGCACCCCCTCCTTCTCCATCAGCATCTGCCGGAAGGTCCCAACCTTCTGCCGGATCTCCTCCTCGGAGTACCTGGTGGGGCAAGGGTGGAGGGCACATACAGGCTTCCGGAGGGCTCTGGCCAGGCTCTGGTCCCCTCCTGCCCCCCACCTCCACCAAACCCAGCCCAGTAGGCCACACTCCAGGTTGCAGTAACTTATCCAAGATCACAGGACCAAGCCAGGTCCTTGGCATCAAGGCTATTCCAGGTCTGCCCATTATGCAGATGAAACAAATAAGTGATTAAAAAAAAAAGATACATTAATGGATGTGGTAAGAGATGTGGGGTGGTAATGTGGATGCTGTGCTGCAGCTTCCCTCTCTCAGTCAGTCTTGTCTTGGACCACGGCCTTGGGAGTCCGCCTTGCATCCCTACCTCCAGGCAGCTGGCCTGGGGTTCCAGTGCCAGAGCCCCCGATCCTGTCTGCTACCAGCTCTCCCTTCTCTGAGCCACATCCCAAGCCAGGGACTAGAGTGTAGAATTATCTGTCTTCATCCATGAGCCCACACGCTGAGGTCTGTCACTACCAGCCAGTGCCCTGGCCTTCCAGCCCAGCTGGTACCCACCCTGCAACCACACTGTCCCCATGCCCATAGCTCCTTGTTCTGTGCCTCCTACAGAGCAGGTATCTAGCAGCTGTTATTGAATTAATCTTTTTTTTTTTTTGAATTTTTTTTTGGATGAGTCTTAGAATCCATCTCCCCCCCTTCCCTGGTCTGCAGGTCATTGTCCTGGACACTGGACTCAGCAGCAGAAAAGCAAGGGGGTCCTAGTTTGTCCCTGCTTATCACTGTACTTGTCCACACAGCAGGCCAACCTTCTGTGCTCAGCCTGTCCATGAAAATGGGACACAGTGCCTTCCTCCTCGCCCTCCACTTCTCCACTTCTTTCCCTCTACTCCTCCAGGAAGATTCAGCCAAACAGCATTCCTTTCCCAGAGCCTTAGCGACAGGGACCAGGGACGCAGCCTCTACAGGATGAATGAACTTGCCGGTTGATCCTGAGGGGACAATCGTGGCTCAGCACCAAGTCCTGACTCACTGTATGCTTACGGCAGGACAGTCTCCTCCCGGCCAGCCTCCATGCTGTGCTGTGTGTGTTTCCACGGCAACTGGTGCCCATCTGGGTTCCCGGCAGGTGGTTCATGCTCTGCTGATTATCTGAGAACTCATCTATATCCTGTGCTGGCCCGGAGGTCCCAGAGGGCCAGGGGACTTGTCCGGTTTGTTGTGGCATCCACAGTGCCTGGCACCATGCCTTGACACCTCGGGGCATCCAAAATGCCTTGGAAAATGAGTGGCTGGTGATGGAGCAGCACTGGAGAGTTGGGAGCTGAGGGCAAGGGAAAGAAACCCCAGCTCTGGGATCCGGTGGGTGTGAGGAGCAGCTGGTGATGCCAGAACAGGGGAGGGGCACTACCAATGGAAGAGACATGACCCCCTAAGATCACATAGTGAGGAGAACAGCTAGGACTTGGCAAGTGATTGGATTACAATGCAGGTTGGATGAGGGGTGCCCCATACCAGGCATCCCTGGAGCCCAGCTAGGTCTTAGAAGTACAGATTTGAGGTCCTATGTAGCTCCACATGGAGGGCTGGGGCCTGACTTGGGGGTACAGGGTCTTTCCTTGCAGCCTCTGATCCCCACGTGACTTGAGCCACCCTGTAATGCAGCCTTCACCCAGTTCTTCTCCAAGCCCGGAACCTTCTCCAAAACCCTGGGCCGTGGCTCATCCCCTTCCCCACCCCGGGCAGTGCAGGAGGAAGGACTGGTGGCACAAGCTCAGAACAGTGGAGGCAGAGGAAAAGGGCTCCTAGCTCACCTGCTCCTTGGGAACCTGGCTCAATCACTGTCACCCATGCAGGGAGAAACCCACATGGGCCCTTTGGGGGAGGGACAGAGAGGCTGGCTGGGCTGGAGCAGGGTGCTCTGGGTCTGGCAGGGGTGGGGAAGACCTAGGCCAAGGACAAATCCGGGGCAAATCACCAACTACATGGTGGCGGAGGGGATTGCAGGCCAGGGTCCAAGTTCCCCTGGTTGGGAGTCAATGGAGGAAGGGCAGCCTGGGAGATTGGGGTAAGCCTGTGTGCAGCAGGGCCTAGGTCCCTCCTTGTAACTCTGTAGTTTGAGGTTCTGTGACCCACTCATCTCCACCCCAGGGGACTCAGGAAGTCTCAAGTGTTACCACATAGCCAGTCCTCGCAGCTGTTGCTCCACCCGGCCAGGGATGTGTGGGGGCGGAAGGAGGGGACAGGGCATGATAAAGGAGCCAGCAATTAAAGCCTGGGACCCCCTACTTTCTAGCGCCATAATCTTGGCATGTCACACACTTCCCCCAGCCTCAGCATCTGCATCTGTGAAATGGGAGCCTGCTGTGAGAACTAGACCACCTTGCGTGGCACCTGGCGTGGAGCAGGTGCACGGTTAACGTAGCTATTGAGGCTAACTCTCCCCAGAGAAGTGGGCAGGGTGGGTTCTGTCACCCCAGGATCCCTGCCTTGACTCTCACCAGTTCTGGGGGTCCCAGGGAAGTGCCTGTCACCTGATGAGCAAACAGGACAGGAAAAGGGAGGACTGGTCCATCACTCCTAAGAAGAGGGGTGCACAGCCCGAGGGCTGGGAGCTGGTCCCATTCCCTACTGATGACCACAGGTTACATGTGTGGTGCCCAATCCCCATTGGGCACCCCTCCTTTTTTTCTTCCTGCACATCAAACCCTCCCCCTCTCTCTGTGGGGAGCCTCTGCCACGGGTCCACCAGGTCCTGATTAAGCCAAGCAGCCCGCCAAGATGTGGCACTCACTTCCCAGTGGCCTTCAGTTGGTGATGGTCCCTGGGTGAGGCTCGTGGGCTCCTATACAGCCTGCAGAGCCCGCTTAAGTGTCCCCTCCTCTGGCAGCCCTTCCCTCCAGAGCCCCACCCTCCCATCCTGTCCTGTGCCCAGGACTCTCTGTTCTAGGGCTGAGGTGGTTGCTAGCACGTGGCTTTCCATTCTGAGCTGATGGGTGGGGAGTGTGAGCCTATGACCACAGGAAGCTCCTCCGGCTTAGGTCTAGGGTTAGAGCTTGGGCAGAGCTGGCTTTTGCCATCAGCTTCCAGACAGAATAAACTAATCCTGGAATGAAAGGTGGGCTGGTCTGGCTGGTTCCGCCCTCCGCAACCTCCTCCCTCCCCCACTTCCGCTCACCCTTGCTCCTCCATCATCTCCTGCAGCTCCATGCACTTGAGCTCCACACGCCGCTTGCGTTCGTGGTCCAGGATCTCACGATGCGCCCGCTTGACCAGGCCCGGCTCCGCGGCGCGCAGCTCCTCGTCGGCTCGCGGCCAAGCCCCCGAGGAGGCGCCGGGCTGCGGGAAGCCGTTGGCGGCGTCGGGCGGGGACGGCATACCTGATGCTCCGTTGTTCACGGTGGAGGACATGACGCCTGGTCCCCGTAGCCGCCGGTCTCAGCCGGCCGCCCTGTAAGAACAAACACAGACACCGGGGCGGATGGTCACTTCTCAGCCACCTGCTAAACCCTCCCTGTACAGGTTAATCCTGGAGATTTAAAGGCCCCTCATGGCGCTAATCGGCTTCCCCTCAGCTAGTGGAGCCGGCAGGTTTGCACCTCTGGGTCACACCCCCAGGCCTGAGCAGGGTCGGAGCTGGACCTTTCCCATCTGTGAGCCTCCCCAGGCCCTGGCTTGGAGCTGTCATCTTCAGGATCCCAGGGACCACGGAGAACAACCTTATGGACAGGAAGGCAGCCCCCCGCCCCCCGCAGCTCCCGCTGGCGTCGTGGCTCACACATTGCGAGCTATGATTCCTGGAATCTATTTTACTCTTTTAAGAAATTATTTTTGGGGTGGTGTAACGGCTTGGCACCTGCAGAGCTGACATCCCATATGGGCATCAGTTTAAGTCCTAGCTGTTCCATTTCCCATCTAGCTCCCTGCTAATGCACCTGGAAAAGCAATGGAGGATGGTCCAAGTCCTTGGAACACTGCACTCATGTGGGAAGCCTGGAAGAAACTCCTGGCTCCTGGCTTTGGTCTGGCCCATCCAGCTATTGCAGCCATCTGAGGAATGAACTAGCAAATTGAAGATTCTGTCACTCTGCCTTTTAAATAAATAAATAGCCCACATACATCTCAATCTCTGTCCAGTGGGCAGCCTTGCAGAGATGCCGGTGATGGCAGGGGTGGGGTGCTGGGAAGGGGGCTGGTTCACACTCAGCTCCATCTTCCACCCCCTGCCGGCAGGTGCACTCGATCTGGCTAATGTCTCCAAAGTCAGTGTTCCAGGCAGGGGTCTCCCCCAGTCAAACCCACCAATCTGTCCCCTCCTGGGTTCTGGAAGCAGTGCTCCTGAGGGTGTGTTCCAAGGAGACTGGTCTCCCAGGCAGCCTGAACCTCCTGCAGGCTTGGGGGTGTGGGGTGGGGGTCAGTGTGACATGGAGGTGAGTGGCTTTGACATGGAGCCAATCCATATGCACACACACACATACAATACACACATATATAATACACACATGCAACACAAAATACATACACATACACACAACTCACACACATGTGCACACATACACACTCTTCAGGACCTGTGTCTGCACAGAGGGGCAGCACCTCCTAAGCTATTTTCATTTCCTTTCTCCAAGGTTCTTCCGGTTGCTAAGCAACAGAAAGGCCTCATTCCCAGGGAGTAGGACTAAGAGAGAGGGCAGGAGAGAGGAGGGAGGAAGACAGGAGGGGACCAGGCATGCTCAGACCTCCTGGATGGGGGCCTGGTCTGCATCTGCAGCCTACCACACTTTCTCCTGCACTAGCCTCTGGGTGTGGGATGGGGGCTCAGGGCCACCAAGAGGCACAAGAGGCCAGAATGACAAGAGGTGACAGGTGGTGACAACAGAAGCTCCTTTCGTTTTTTCCTTTCTCGAGAGTCTCAGGTTCCTGGGCTCTTCTGCTTGCTGTGTGACCCTGCGGCTGTAACCATCCCTCTCTGAGCTTCCCACGGCCTCCTGGGCCCAGAAGCATCATGACCCATAACCCCTCAACACAGGGAGAGACCAAAGCCAACCTTCCAGCCACCAGCCTTCCCTCTACAAACTTGGATGTCCCTTGTCCCTGTCCCTCGCCAGCCCTGCACCCTGCTGCCAGCTGCTTTCTCTGGATTCCTTGCAAGCATCACTACTCCCTGTGTCCAAAACAGAACCTTGGGGCCCTGGGTCCTGCCCTGGCCACACAGCATTGGCTCCTGGGCAACCCCCTCCACATGTCGGACCCTCCAGCCAGGGACAGGGGCACCCCAGCCCTCTTTCTCCACTATCATCTGATTCCGCCCTTCTTCAAAGCAGGGCTCTTTTGTACCCTCCTTTGGCCCCCTCCCCTGCTGCCACCTGAATCCAAGTCCCAGCATGGGATCCCACCTGGCCTCCGCAGCCTCTCCTTCCCCATTGGCTACTTGTCATGTCAATCCAAGAGCACCTGGTATGCTTTGTGCCCTGGATCACAGCCTCCCATTGACCTGGATCACAGCTTCCTGTGGACCTGGCTAGCTCCGCCCACTGCTCTCCTGAATCCTGTCCCCAGGAGGGAGGTCCCTGCCACCTGACTCCTGCAGTACTTGGAGGAGTCACACTGCCTGCAGGCCTTCCCTCACCCACTCACCCATTCTGCCTGGCACCACACTCTCACTGTCCCCTGCCCATTGTCATTGCATTTTCCAGGCTGGTGTCCCATGGGTTCTTAACTCCCAGTACCAGCTATGTGCCTAGCAGGTGTGGTGCCCAGCATGCACATGGTTAGAAAGTCAGAGACAGGGTGAGAAGAAGTGGATTTGAGGGTGGCCCCTCCACTGTCTCACACCCTCCCTGCTTGATGCAGCCCCTCCTGCAACCCACAGGAACTCCACATCCAGAGAGAAGTCCAACGCCATTCTCAGTTACCACTGAGAACAACTGCTCTGGCAGCACACACTGCTGGACGTGCATGTGACACCTAGGAAACTCAGTGTATTGGTGAACAGCATCATCCTGAAGGAGAAGCACAGGTCTTCCAGAGCCAAATCTACTCCATTTGGGTCATTAATTTCACATACCACCAGCTTTAGTTACGGCTATCCCGGAACCCTGTTTTGTCCCTTCTAGTCCAATCCCATTGGGGACATCAGTTCTCAAAACCAGCCCCTTCCTGGGGACTGGAGTTCCCTTTCCCTGCTCCTCTAAGCAACAGGAGGACTTCAACTTATCTTTCAGGGCCCAGAAGTCACCTACTCCAGGAAGCAGGAGTCACTCCTTCTCACAGGACATTCAGAGTTCGAGGCCCCAGTTGGCATTCTAGAGTGGTGAGCTCTCGGTGGGATGAGATCTTACCCTGCTCCACCTTCAGGCTCCTCTGAGCCCTGGAGCAAGCAATGTTGGGGCTGCTCTGGGCCAGGGAAGGGAGAGGGCCAAAGCTCCAGCGAGAGCCCTTGGAGCCACCCTACCAGCCTTCCCTCTAACCTACTGCAGTCTAAAATTCAGCCCCAGCACTCCAACCACCATGCCCCCCAGCAAGTCTCTCTACAGCCCCAGGAGGCGGTGAGGCTGCCTGGCTGCCGAGCAGTCATCTTTGCAGAACTGACTGAGGAAAATGGGATGAAGGCAGGGGCTGGTAGATGCCGTCTGAATGTGGCTAGGACACACAGGATTGTCTACCCATTTCACTTTGCACCTTGCAGACACACAGATAGAGAGAAATCCTCCATCTGCTGGTTTGCTCCCCAAATGCCTGCAAGGACCAGGGCTGGGCCAGGCTGAAGCCAGGAGCCTGGAATGCTGTCCAGGTCTCCCACATGGGTGGCAGGGGCCTAAACACTTAGGCCATCTTCTGCTGCCTTCCCAGGTGCATTAGCAGGAAGTTGGATGGGAAGTGGAGCAGCCAGGACTAGAACTGGCATTCCAATGTGGGTTGCCAGTATCCTAAGTGGCAACTCCCCTACTCTGCCCCATTTTATCTTTTATGAGCTCATTGCTAGAGTTCAGAAAGAAAGATGACCTTGTGTGTGTTTGGCGGGGGGGGGGGGGGGGCAATAATATTCCTGCAGTTCTGATTGGTTGATTGATGAACCCATCGTCCTGAAGAGGGGAACAGTGGGGCCATGCTATGCTAGACCCAGATGTTTAACGGAGCACGGGGCCCTGTCCTCACCCATGTCTGATCCATACATTCATGACCGACAGGGGATGGAGCATTTGTAGCCTGATGAGCAGACTCACTGGGGATCCGCAATCAGACCCAGGACTTGCAGGCAGAAAGAGTTGGGAAGGGGGCGTGGGACAGCGAGTCTGAAACCAACTTCCTAAAAGGGGAGTGGAGTCTATGTAGTGGAGAGCAGTATTTTTAGAACAGATTTTGGCTTTTTTGCCATCACAGACTAAGCACGAGTTGAGATCCTGGTGTGGTTGCTGGAAGTGTGTGCTATCTTGAGCAGACAAAAGCAAATATAAGAACACACAGGCAGCTGGAATCCTCCCCTTTAAATAGCAGAAGGAAGAGGAGGACTTAGGGCAAGCGTAGCTGAATCTGCTGAGAAGTGTATGCTGGTTGGGCCAGCATGGCTGATCCCAATACAGAATACCCAGTTCCATGGGAAACTGAATTTCTTATTTGGGACGTACTTCAACTCTCCCCATATTATTCCTTGCTGATCACGATGGTTCCATCCCTGTTATCTACAAGGGAGACCCAGGAGAGAGTGCCCAACTCTGGACTTCAGTCCCTCCCAGCCTGGGCCACTATCTGAGGAATGACCCAGAAGATGGGTGCTTGCTCTGAGTCTCTACCTCAAAAAAAAAAAGTAAATAAAAAGGTAAAATAAATAAATAAACTAACCAAACACACAGATCACTGGATTCCACCCCCAGCTCCTGGCATAGGGCCTGAGAATTTGCATTTCGAGTAAGTTCCTGTGGGACCTGGAGGCTGTGGGTCCCTGGAGCATACTCAGCAGGAAGCAGCAGCTGCTGCAACCCGTCTTCGGGGAAGGATTGTTGGGTTGATTAGATTCAGATGCTTTAAAAAGCCAAGAAGTTTGTCCTGCTAGGATGAGTGCACTTCTTATCCCGGGAGTTGGCTGAACAGGCGGCGGACACTGCATCACTCATTCACTCAACAAACACTCATCTGGCATCTTATGTGGGCCGTTCCCTGGTAGAGGCTGGTGGCTTGCAGGTGAGGCCCCTCTCCTGGTCCTGCGGTCCTGTGGTAGCTCTTTAGTGCAACGCAGAATGTGGGATGCATGTGCCTTTGGGAAGGGCAGGAGGAGATGGTGACAGAGTGGGTGAGACCTGGCCCAGATTCAAGAAGAAAATGGGTCCATTTGGCAAGACTTGGGGTTGGGACTGTGCTTGGCTGACCAGGTAGAGGAGGAACTTGGAAGGGAAACTGGGTGTGTGTTGAGC